TTGACGAGATGTCGTTGGCACTGCCTAAAAATTAGGTCAAAAGGGCAATTATGGAGGCAAAGTTGCACACAAACCGACGAAAGTAGGAGCACAATCCTACGAAGCGGTTTAACTGTTTTACAGTCGTCGGTTTGGGGAATTCAGCGACAGAGCGTAGTTTAGCCGGGTCGGGAAGAACGCCATTCTTTGGTACGACGTGACCGAAAATGGTTAGCTTCCGAGCAGCGAAATGGCATTTCTTGAGATTCAGTTGGAGCTGTGCATTCTTCAGACACGTGAGGACATATTTCAGGCGTACAAGATGTGTTGCGAAATCGGGTGTAAAAATGATGATATCATCGAGGTAGCAGAGGCATATGTTCCATTTCAAACCCCGCAGAACTGAGTCCATTATGCGCTCGAATGTGGCTGGCGCATTGCAGAGGCCGAAGGGCATGACATTGGACTCGTATCGCCCGTCTGGTGTCACGAAGGCTGTTTTTGGATGATCGGCTTCTGCTAAGGGCACCTGCCAATACCCCGAACGCGAATCTAACGACGAAAAAAAACTCGGCACCTTGTAAGCAATCAAGGGCATCATCAATCCTGGGCAAAGGGTATACGTCTTTGTGAGCGATCTTATTTAGGCGCCTGTAATCAATGCAGAAGCGAATTGTATCATCCTTCTTCTTAACAAGAACGACAGGTTATGCCCATGGACTTTGGGAAGGTCAGATAATGTCGCGCTTGAACATATCATCACTCTGTTCGGTGATAACCTGACATTCCGCGGCGGAAACACGGTATGGTCGCTGTTGTACTGGCACCTTCGAACCTGTGTCGATGCAGTGAAAAAAACTGGGCGTTCGGCCAAGGGTAGGTTGAGCAACGTTAAAGGATTCACGGAACTGGTAGAGCAGCTGAAGGAGCTCAGAGCGTTCAGATGGCGATAGTCCGTCAGCGATCGATGAATCAAAAAGCTCGGAAGGTGGTACATAGGAAGGGTTGAGGGCACTGATGGCGTCGTAGTCACCAGAAAAATCTGGCGTCATGGTAAAAATTTGTTCTTTATTAATGGCATGCACGTGTCCAAGAGATTCACTTTGAAGCAGTTCGACCGGATACGGAAGGGGATTGATGAGGCAAAGAGCACTGTTTTCTTCAGAAATAGCGAGGGTTGAATAAGGCAGAAGAAGTGATCTTCGACTAAGGAAGAGGCTTGATGGTTCAAAGAATGCAGCTTCGTCCCTAGTGCCGTCACAGAACACGGGGAGCAACACAGCTGCTGTCGAAAGAATTTCAGTGCCTTCTTTGATGACGAGTTTGTGTACGGCAGGCTGAATGCAGTTGGTTGGTTGGTCGTAAAACGGGAATAGTTCAAGTTCCGATCTTGCACAATAAACAACGGCGTGGTTACGCGATAAAAATCTCATCCAAGTATGATGTCATGTGAGCATGACGAAAGGACAATAAACTCAACAGAGTAGCGGTCCTTCGCGATGATCAGTCAGGCAGTACAGGCAGCTACAGGCTGAACCGAGTCCCCATGCGCTGTTTGCAAGGACATCATATCAAGAGGCATACTTACTTTTCGGAGCTTGCAGCAAAGTTTAGCGCCTATCACGAAAACGGCACCACCGGTATCCACTAGAGCATATGCTCGAGTACTTTTTACAAAAACTTTGACAATATTCAACGGCAATGTCCAAGGACTTGAGCATTTTGACAGCGCAGTTCTTGCCTCCTGAACTGCGGCGGTTAGTTTCCCTCGTGTTCAGGAGCTGGCCGACAGTGCATGGGTGACAGGGAGCGACGGCAGGGTGAAGGTGAGCGACCAGACAAGTACGCGGACATTCCCGTGAAGACGAGCTTGACTGAGGATCCGAATTTTTCAGACGAGATGGAGGAAGGTCCATAAAGCTGTTGTGTGTCTGGGCGTCTGTGTACCCCGGCACGCGACGACAGCAGTATCGGGCGATATGGCTAGGACCGCCGCACGCAAAACAGATGGGCCGGTTATTGCGTATTCTCCAAGTATTGGCGACAAGGAGAGCAGCCCATGCGGCAGACGGGTGAGTTGAGGCTGTGGTAACAAAAGAAGGAACCCAGGCGGCGGACGCCTGAGTAGGGGCAGAGGTATGCGGCAGTCCCTGGAACGGTGGGGGCTGGTGTAGCTGCTGCCGCTTTAGTGCCTCAGCGTAAGTAAGAAGCGCGGTGACGGGGGGCTGCTGCACGAGCACCGGCGTAGCCTCGGAAATCTGCTCTTGGACCACATGTCGGAGCATGGGAGCCAATGGTGGTGGGTGTCGCAGTGGCTGTTGGTGTGAGAGCTCCTGGCGTTGAGCAAAAGGCAGTAGAGAAAGCTGCCGAGCCACTTCCTCTCGCACAAAGTCTTCATTTGTGCGAGAAGGTTTGTCCGGTCAGTCAGGACGTCCAGTGCGGTCACTGGTTGGATTGTCTAGAATGAGCCTCCCGCCTGAGCTCGTTGCCTCCACATTTCATCATAGCTCTGACACAAAGTCACTACTTCGGCCACAGTGCTAGGAGACTTTGCAAGGAGCATCTGGAAAACGTCATCGTCGACGCCCTTCATAATGTGCTGTATCTTTCCACTCTCGCTCATGGAAGCATCAACGGGCCGGCAGAGATCGATCACACTTTCTATATACGAGGTGAAAGTTTCACCTGGCTCTTGTGCCCGTGTGCGCAGACGTTGTTCGGCGCGTAGCTTCTGTAAGGCAGGGCGGCCAAAAACGGCACATAACGCCTCTTTGAAGGCGGACCAGTTCACGAACTAGGTTTCGTGGTTCCTATACCACAGCTTGGCCACGTTGGTGAGATAAAAATTGACAGTGCCCTACTTAGCAGTGTCATCCCACCTTTTGGGTCCACTGACTTTCTCGTATGACAACAGCGAGTCCTCGACATCCTGGTCTTCGGTGCCCACAAAGATGGGGGGGCGCTGGTGAACCGGGCCGGGGCAAGTAGAGGCCGCGAGAGGTACTGTTTGTTGGGCAGCGTCAACTTGCATGGTCGACAGCAGGGTGCAGGATCGGAGTTTTAGGGTGTAGGCGATGTGGTTACCCAGCATGATCCACCAAATGTAAAGAGGTTTATTGGGCAAATCTAACGGGCAGGTGGAAGATTCGAGATAGTGACAGGACGAGGAAGATGGTGGAGCTCGAGCACCGATCTCGTGGTGCCTTACTCTGCGATGATCCTTGTTGTTCCCTGGTGTTGTCATCATTCATTCATTATACAATGTACTTTTATTGACAATTTCTACTACAAACCTTTCACGATAGGAATAGCCTTCCCAGTAACATCGTTAATTGACTTGAATCATTATGAACAATTTTTTAATTCTATAGTTAATATTGTATACTAAGCTCTTTCTAATATACTGTGTGTCTGTATTGTACTCGCAGAATTTATTTCTTCATTTTTTTCTTTTTGTATGTACGCACTTTTACCACTTCCTCCGAGGGTTGTTATAAAATGAGGTGAGAGATGAAATTGACACAAAGGCAGAGGGTGATGTTGACAAAGCACAGAAACCTTTTTTTGCAATGACAGCACAGAAACTTCAGAACTGGCCTTGAATGGCATTTTATGATGGATTTTATGGAACATGTATGCCGCTTTAATTTGGGAGCACGTGCTGGGCCCCTTGACAGTGGCCCGTTCTGTCTGCTGTGACACACGAAATGCCTGCATTGGAGCAAAGTAAAATTTAACAACCTGCTCCTAAAGGGACGCTAAAGTCAAACAACAATTTACATGAGAGTGATACCTTAATGTATGACAACATTTAAAACGACAATATTATCGACAGCAATGCCGTGCTTGCCGAGAAATTAAGGTAAATGCACGAGAACACATCTGCTGCAGTAGGACATTCGCAAATTGATCCCGATGACGTCATTGTTACCGCCTACAATGAATCACTAGTAATCAAACCAGCTGCACTAAATAACGGACCCTTCCGTGCATCAAGAGACATAATAAAATGCTGCTTGTTCATTTATATTTGAATCATGGAAAAAAGAACCACGAGTTACTATCGGGAATGACGCGAGTGGTTTAAAAGTTCCATTTTTGCCTGGTTAAACTGGACAGGTCGTGCCATCTAGCGGGTCCCATTTGAATCAAGCAGCCCCTGCCTTCTCGAAGGCCATGGCAGAAAATTGTTCAATGGCCGTTGTTGCTGCTGTGGCTCCCACTGCTTTCGTTCTGCTGCTATTAGTGTCGGCGGCAGCGCAGTAAAGTCAGGCAAGGTTGTGCACAGCAACAGTGATGCGAGACATTCTGCTTGAGGCAGGCAATTTGAGTGCACTAACCAGATGTGGACGACTAAAACGTGATTTTATTTCAAAATAAGCACTTCCTTGACACAAAAGTAACTTTGTGAGGTTTCTGGGCGCCTATTTCAACAATCAACGTCGACTTGATAGTTGCCTTTAGCAATAGTTGCTTTTAGCAAAGTAAGTTTGGCTACACTGTTCGTGCACGAATGACTCGGGCTTAAATTTGATTTCAACGAGCAACCTAGCACATAAAAGCAGTTGTGATGCAGCCTCGCTGCTCTACTCTGAACAAAAAAAGGTTTTCGTTGAAATTTGGCCACACATGAGTAGTCATGCTCGTACATATGGTCAGATTAGTCAAAACTGGGGTTTCTTGCAGACGAATGGAGAAATATTTAGATAGTTTGCCATGTACAGGTTGCTTGAATCTTCTACAAACACAATACCTGACAGGGCTGACCTAACTAATGCCACAAGCAGAGTTTAAACAGATTACAAACAAACCGAGCTTGTTGCAATAGGTCTTCTTACAAGATTTCTGTGTTAAGAGAATCCTGTGGGTAAGCGTACAAACAAGTGTACAGTGCTTACACTGCCTACAGTGCTCATTTGTGGAAAGCATAAATGATGCTGAAGTGCAGGATGTAATGAAATGTGTGATGCAGTGGTTACTAATGTACTATAAACAAGTGCATTCACTTTTCCTTGGTGCAGGCAGTGACACTAATAGAGAACTTGTACAAGGTGTTCCTCAAGTATGACGCCACACTGGTTGAAATCAACCCACTCATCGAGGACAACAACAACATAGGTCTGTTCAATGAAAGAGAAGCAGCGGGCAAGCTCTACTTATAGTCTACTGTGGTTCTAGCCAGAGGTGTAGCTTTCAGTATGAATTGCGTACGCCTATACTACCAGCATTAATAAAGCATGCACAATGATTATGTTTATCAATGGTTTCTATGATACCCCCATTGAGTTTTACTCATCCACGGATTTCCTTTTGTCACCTCAGCTCCATAGTCATTTTTAATTATATTTACTGTATTTACTCGCGTAATGCACCCACCTATTTTTTCAGAAAAGTTGACGCCATTTTGGGGGAAGGGTTCGTTAGCATAAGAAAAAAGTCACGGGAGTTATAACAGCGAGAATTTTGCGTGACAGCTTTGCTTGTTTCGGCCTGAGAAATGCGCGACAAACCTTTTTTGTAGCCAGAAGTTCTTTCTGTTTCCTCCCGTAACGAAAGCGCACGAATCGACGCCAAAGTGTCGTCCAGCATAGAGGAGGCGTTGATATAGCGCACGCAGTTCAAAACTCACCGTGTAGCTAGTGTACCGACCGAACGGGCCTTGTGCAGTAGGTGTCCCAAAAAAGTTCACAAAGACATACCCGAGAACAAAAACGCTGCGTCGGATGGCGGCACACAAACGTTGCGGTAGACGTTGCGGTTGCACGAAGCACCATTCGTCGCGGTTGCGCTTTGCATGGTCTCGGGGATGGCGGGCACGTGGCATGTTTCTATGCCACGCGCCCACCATTTCGGAGTCCACGCCCTTAGTTTTTGTGCCGTGCTTGTGTGGCACTATCAGCATAGAGGTTTCTCCTCCATTTGACAGATGACGCTTTGCCGCAAAAGGCGGGACTTTCACATTTTTATTTATGTCGTCTGCACTCGCGCTGCTCGCAACCATTTAGCATGGTTGCAAAGCTATGTTTTCACTTTTATTGCGTTGTTATTTTGCGATATAATGGCTTCATTTAACGTTGTTTCGATGGTCAATTGCACTGGCTACAATACCAAAATAAATTGAACAGATAAATTTTAAAAAGTTTTTTTTTCCAAGGACCAAGATGAGGGATGTTTCATTATGCGAGTAGGTTCAATACGCGAGTAAATACGGTATAACTGACGAAAAAACTCTACTATTATGTAAACTGAGTTAAGCTGGTATGCAGCAGTGGCTAGTGCCTTTGAGATATTTTGTAACTGTAGATTGAATTCCTGCGGTGATTACAGCTATTCAAGATGGGACATTGTTAGCTGCTTTTAAATAAATAGGCATAAAATTTTGCTTCAATAGTTGATACAGTGGAACCTGCTCATAAAGAACTTGAAAGTGCCACAAAAAGTAGTTTGTTGTATGTGTGCTTGCCCTTCCAAACTTGCACAAGTTAGCAACCATGCAGCTTTTTTTTTTGCCAATTCTAAACAAAGTTTGTTTAGTTGCTTCAAGCTCTGTGCATGTGGGTTGGTTATTAAAAAATTTTGTCAGTATTTTGAATATGCACTACAGTTTACTCATTAGACGGAACCTGAATGCACCAGTGAAATATGTTTCGTTTAACAGGAGTTCCGTTGACTGAGAGATGAACAGGGGGGCAGAATGAAAGAAAGAAAACAATCTTGTCAAAAGCACTTGTTTCATTTGGGCAGTATTTTCGTTTAAAAGATTCGCATTTAACAAACCCAATTGAATGCTATTTGATTTGTTAATTGGAAATTTTTTATATGTATTGCCGCAAGCCTATTCCTGTTACCGTATTGGTGTGAATGCAGCACTTAATAGGTGTTATGAGCTTCCCACAAAAAATCTTTGTTCATGGTTATATTGAAGGAAATACAGTGGTAGCCTGCTTTCCTTTTGTCTTGAAAATGGCAGTGCTAAGCCAGGTGGACAAAACGACGAAAAAAGATCAGCGAGGCTGGTGCAGGTTTTCAATGAAATTGACCAAGAGACAGACTTGGACGTAGTCAAATAGGAGTACTACCTCTGCAGTGGTCACAGTGCCAAGGAGTGAGGTTTCACATGCTTATGTGCAGTGTACTGCTTAGACGCCAAGTGCCGCTTTGACGACAATGCGGCCTTCAGGCAAAAGGCGCTGTTTGACCTGCGTGATTGGACCCAGCAGGACATCCGTGAGAAGCAGGCCCATGAGAGCAACCTCAACTACATCGCCCTCGACGGGGACATCGGCTGCCTCGGTGAGTCCTCATCAGCAGCCGGTGCCGTATGTATGAGCTTCAAGTTCGTCATAGCCAGAACAGGCAGTGACTGGACGTGGCACTTTCCCGCTGACTTGCCATGGCGTGTGCCCACATTGCAAATGCAAACACATCCAAGTACTTGTGCGACATAAAATAAATGGCAAAGCAGTGTACTTTACAGCCTTATAATACGGCTTTTCAATGTGGCCGTACTTTAGCTTTGAGGCAGTAATGGCGATGTTCTATCAACCAAACAAACTTCAGTGTTGATAAAAGTTTATTTCTCTGGTAATGTTTTGTACTTTTATTTGTATCTTTCAGTGCATGCTGCAATCAAAAAGCTTTACAGCACTATAGATATCGGGAAGGAGGTCACTGATGGTTGATTGGTTGAATGAACTTTATTTGCCCAACGGTTGTTGCTGTGCTTGGGGCTAGGCTGCCGGGGACACATTGTTCAAGGAACATCTTTTGAGGTCCTCGCCGACGACCCTGGCCCGCTGGACGGCCCACACCTGGTCTTCGAGGGCCTCGCTGAGAAGGGCGGCTTGCTATCGCTCAGCAAGGTGCCCCATTTCAGTGGGTCCCTCAGTTGACGTCATCCTTTCTCGTGGCCTATCTTCATCTCTTTCGCATTGCCAAAGTATATGTGCCATATCGGCTCGTTCGTGCGCGCACCACGGGCAGCCAGGCGACAGGTGCAGCGTGGGCCATAAGCGGTGCAGATGGTAGGGGCTGGTGAACGTGCCCGTCTGCAGCCTTCTCAGGTCCACCGCCTGCGACCTGTCCAGGCGCACGTGGGGTTGCGGAAATTTCTTCCGGTCTTTCCTATAGTGCGCAAGCACGTCGTGGTGCGTGGCAGGAAATTCTTCTCTATAGCACTCGGCGCACCTCTGTTGTCTCGTCTCTTCTGCACCAACTTCAGTTGCTGCAGCAACGGACGTGGTGGGGGTGGTAATTTCGGCATTGCCAGTGCCTGTGGCCACCACCGTGCCTCGGCCGGTGCTCCTCCCAACCACGGTGGCGGCTGCTCCCTGGGTGGCTGCGTCGCGGCGGGTAAGTTGCCTCGCGACGAGGTGGGCGCGCTCGTTATGGTTGGGTGGGATGCCGGTTAGTCTTTGGCTGTTGGCATTGTTGCTGCTAGTTTTACGGCTGTTGTTAATAGTTCCACTGCCCCCTTGTGAGCGGGAAACCACTTGAGGGCCTTGTCAGTAATCTTGCCTGACGCGAAGTCCCCAGCTCTAGCGTTAAGCATGCGTGCCACCTCCTCGGACACCCAGCCTTTAATATAGCTCTGAATCGCTGATTTAGAATCGCTAATAATCAGGCTGTCGTCTGCACCGCTGTGGAGTACCGCTAAGGCTATGGCCATTTCTTCTGCAGCTTCGGATGATGGCAGCCGTGCTGATGCCGTGACCCGAACCTTTCCTGTTGTATCCAGGACCGCCATAGAGAAAGCAGGTCCCTCCGCCGCTGACCGAACTCGCTGTTGATGTTGCCGCTGTCACTGCAGTCGTTGCTGTCGTAACAGTAGCAGTGGTGGCAGTGTTAGCGCCTCGACTTCGCCTCGCTCGTTCACGGGTAGCGACGGGGGTTCCAAGCGTCCCCCCATCGCCCCCGCCGGCTGACAGTGGATACCTGGCTGCATCGACGAAGAAGACACCCTCTTGGCTTCCATGCGCCTTCAGGATTGCTGCAGTTCTGCATTTGCGTCGTTGCAAGTCGTGAACGGGGTGCATGTTCCTGGGGATGTTTTCTGTCAGTATGGCGTCCCTGACTTCCGGTAGCAATGCTTCCTTCAGCCCACGCGTCTCGTGATATCGAATCCCAAGCAGATCGAGAATGCGTCTTCCCGTTCTTGTGCCAGACAACCTCTCGAGCTGTGCGGTCCTCTGCGCTTCTGCTATCTCGTCGAGGGTGTTGTGCTCACCCAGCTCCAGAAGCCTATGGGTTTCCGTGTACTGGGGCACACCCAGGGCTACCTTGAATGCTCAACGAATCGCCGCGTTCAGCTTATCGGCTTCGCTTCTGTTCCAGTTGGCATACGCGGCGACATACGCTATGTGGCTCAGCGCATACGCATGTATTAACTTCGTCACGTTGTGTTTCTTTAGCCCTTTTCTTTTTTTCGCTACCCGACGCAGAAGGTGCGTTGCGGCGGCAACTTTCTTTTGCAGTCGTGCTATCAGCTCGTGGTTCGCACCGTTTTCGTCCAGCCACAGGCCGAGCACTCGTATTTTGGACACCGTTGGTATTTGGGTCCCCTCCTTCGTCATGACGCGCATGCCTAAGCGACGGGCGCCCAGTACAGCCTGCGGGTGAGGTCCTTTCTTGCGTGGTCTATGCAGGAGTATTTCCGATTTATCGGGAGAGCAGACGAGTCCCGTGCCTTCGAGGTGCCGCTCCACGGCCCGGACGGCCTGCTGCATTTTCTCTTGCATTTCACCAACGCTCGTATTCGCTGTGGTCCACACGGTCACGTCGTCTGCGTAGATCGTCTTCGATATCGCGATCAACCCGCTAGGACATCATTACACAATATTACCATACACTGTAAGACATGACAAACACATAAATACACCCAAGGCGGCGTCGCCACGTGGGCCCCACGTGGGCCTTACCACGTGGGCCCCCGACGCGCAATCCGCGGTGACACACACCGGGGACCCACGCTAGAGACAACCGTTCATGGCAACCGCCACGCGCCGAACAGAGCCTCACTCAACTCTCTCGCCCGCCACCAAGGCTTGCCTTCTGCCAGGGGTCACAGCGGGCGCCACCACTCTACCAGCCATGATAATAATAGTAGTGATCACCGCTCGCGAACACAACGCCACCTCTCGCTCAATAGTTGTCACTCCCGAAATACGGCTTCTGTACAAGACACTTGCGCCACGCGGTGCAAACAACTTTACAGGGGAGTGTCAGTACCTCCACAACTTTAAGCGTGCTTTTGAGTGCTCCTGCTCTCTCAATGGAATTTGCCATAACTTAAAGCATGGCACTGTCAATGCGCCAAAGCAGTTTTTTGTTTGTTTGTTTGTTTGGAGTGAAGAGAGGGGCACACCCGCCTATGTGCCCGCAGCGGCGAGAACGGCGGCAACGCCGGCTTGAGGGGTGAAGGCCCGCCTGCCTGCCTCGCGCCCACCTGCCTGCCTGCCTCGGGGTGAAGGTCCGCCTGCCTGCCACTGCTGCGACGAAGCGTGCAGCAATGGCAGTGCGCCGTTGGCGCTGCTGCCACCGCTGCGCGCTTCGTCGGTGGCGGGGCAGCCGCGGAGGATGCATGCTTGTACCAAAATGACAAAATGTGGAGCAAAATTCATTATATCAAGGTTGTCTCCTGCTGTTACTTTGTTACATAGAGGTCGAAAATGCATGTGCTTCTATAAAGCAACGGCGGGGAATCGAAAAACTTCGTTATATTGAGGAATTTGTTATATGGAGGTTTGTTATAAGCAGGTGTAACTGTACTATATTTGAAGCATATAAGCTGGCATAGCAAGCATGTAAGCCTGTCTACCTCAGTAGATCAATGCCAACGGTATTCGGCTGCTGACGGGAAGGTCGCAGGTTCGATCCCCATCACAGCGGTCATATTTTGATTTATTTATTTATTTATTTATTATACCTCAAAGGATCTCTACAGAAGCTTTACATGAAAGTATGGGCAAACAATATAGAGTTAATAAAACAATTATTCTATGGCATTTGTAAATTTATCTCTGTTGGAATGGTTAATGACACTTTAGGGAAGATTGTTCCAGCTTCTGGCTGCCTGAGCGAAAAAAGAGAGATAGTGGGCTGTGGTGCATAATGGAAGCGAAATTGTAGAGGCCCATATGCTGTACAATGTCGGTGCTTGTTAAAAAATGCCAGATGGTCAAAATTTCTGGATGCCTCCACTATGGCATTTCTCATAATCATGGCTTTGGGATGTAAGACCCCACATGTTAATATTAGGATTTTCTGCTTAAAAAAAGTAAGAATCGTTGTGAGGTAATTTGGTATGTTCATTTAATTTTGAAGTAAAGCTTTGCGGCAGGGTGTGTTATCTTTCCAAAGGTGTCCTCACAGTGTTGCACCCCTTTACTGTAGTGAAACCACCTTCACAGGTGGGTGGCCTAATAAGGGGAGGGGGCCTACATGCGGCTTCATATACACTTGTTCGTTCATTTCGAATAATTTTAGGGATTCGAATTTGAATACATTAATAATTGTTCAAACATTCAAAGGGCTCAAGTATTCGTACAAAACGCAGCATTGCAGCAAGAGTGGTCATCTTCATCAGGACTGCAACATTCTCTTGTTCAACGATTTCCTATCACTTCAATTTTGCTCTGTGCATGCGCATTTGTGCCACCAGGGTGTCTCTGGTTACAGTTAATGGTGCTGGGTTGGCCATGGCAACTATGGACATCATCAAGCTTCACGGTGGCAGCCCAGCGAACTTCCTTGATGTCGGAGGTGGTGCCACGGCCAAGCAGGTCACCGAGGCCTTCCGGCTCATTACTTCCGATCAGAAAGTGAGCAACTCATGGCAGTCACCCAGTTAATTAACCAAGAACGTATACATATCGAGTCAGGCTGGGTCATCATCAATAGCAGCAGCCAGCACAATGCAACCTGTAATAATTTCTCAACTGTTTTTTCTATTACACTTCTGTTGAACGTAATGTAGTAAAATTGGCAATTTACTTTGTCACGTAGGAAAACTTGATTACATTGCGATTAAACATTTTATGCAAAATAAATGGTTTTATATAGAATCTATCTTTACTGAAAGTGCCTCAAAAATACTAGCATTATAGGTTTTACGCAAGGAGAGACAAAAAATAAGTTACTGCCAAGCCAGCAAAAGGAAGAACGGGAATTTATTGAGGGGCCTGTTTGTTTGTATAACGTTAAACACCACCTAATAAGTCAACAGATAATAAACCAAAAGAATACATAGCATATTTTATTTGAAGTATAGTAATTACAGTAATGCTTAGGTAAACTAAACATTTGTTTAATAAAATTCTCAAATAATAAAGTATTCAGCTTTGCATAGATTCATTCCCAAAGCACATCATGTATTTTTAACCTCCAATTAAGTGTGTCTACCTATTATTTCAATACCACATAATTTCTCTGGTGCCGTAAATGAGGATCTTGCCTATAAAATAAAAATTATGCTGGTACCAGCGTTCAAATGTTTCAGTTATGCATTCGTAAAATTGGGCATTGTGAGCTGTCGAGCAGCTGCCAGAACCGAGGACAGACGACAAAAAGAAAAACAGACACACAAAACGAATGCACAAGTCTACATAGGACAAGCGCAAACATATGTCACAATTTTTTCATCATCAGGTGTCAGCAGCAAGCTCCTTTCATAAACCCGGCCACAGCACTGAGCGAAACTTCGTCCTTTCATGAATTAGGAGTCCGATGAGCACGGGCGCAGGAGAGACCGCAGTGAGAGAGACCACACTATGTGGAGGGGGCACTTCGTAGAGGTGACAGCCTTTAGAGCGCGCCCATATTAATAACGAAAACGCGCTAAAGTTTCGAAGCTATGAGGACTGCCGCATAGTGTATGGTGTATATAGATGGCTTCCCGTTAGCATCCCCTTACAATGTAAGCTTTGTGTCGTAGTAATTAGCGTGGCGCACTGCAAATCGAGAGGTTGCTTGTTCGAGTCTGTGTGACAGATTCTTGCTTTCTAGTTTTTTAATTTGCAATCTGTTAGTATATATTTTATGTCATATCTGTGACCGAAATACGTCAGCGTAGCCGTGGTGGATCCCGACGTAGAACACTTTTTTCATGTTAGAAAAAGAAAGATCTATTGGCGACTATACCTTCTATAAAAGGCTGAGTTTCAACTTATGTAAATTGGCAATTTTATCAGCTTCATTATATCATGTTTTAACTGCACCACATTAATGGAAATTGATTAAAGTGGGTAAAAAACTATTTGCTGCTGGTGCACATTGGACCCAGAACCTTCGACTTGCACATCCACTGCTATAGCAATCGAGCTATGGCAGCAGCCGTTCTATGTTATTGGCTATTTCTGGAAAAGTAGCTCTTTTATAGTTAGCCAGTGGCACTTGTAGTCATGTTGGTGAATGTGAAATTTTTTTTTTTTTGTTGCCATCTGTGACATAACGTAGTGCAGGACCTTTACGAACTGGCAGATCATTCATTCAGAACACTCAGCTCTTTATTTCAGACAAAAATGTCTTGGACGCAAGGGCAAAGGCAGATGTGCTTTGATTGATGGGACCCTAGCACCCGAATGCACAGTCAAAACTTGGACAAACAGAAATAATGTTACACATTGTTAATAAATACAAACGCAGTGTCATACAAAGTGAACAAAATGTATAGTTTCAAAATAATAAAGAAAAGTCATGAAACAATAACTAACGAAACTTAAGGAACACATACTAACTACTGGATTAGTAATCTTGAAGTAAGTTGTGCCATTTGATGACTCTTGTGTGCTGCCTACAAGCATCACACTTGCTAGACCCTCGCTGTGAAGGCCTCTGCTGCAAGTCGGAACTTGCATGAGACTGTCTGTCTTGCACATTTTTTTCAGGTGCAGGCCATTCTGGTCAACATCTTTGGTGGCATAATGCGGTGCGACATTATTGCTGAGGGTGTCATTCAGGCAGCCGAGACGCTCGACTTGAAGATCCCCATTGTGGTCAGGCTACAAGGTATGTGGTGAATCTGTTGGACCTCGCCTGTGAAGGTGTTTTAAAAAATATCTAATAGTTAAGTGAACGAAATTAAGTTTTATACACTTGTTGGTTTTCTTTCTGCAAATTCAAAATCTATGAATATATTCTCAATAGCTGCATTTAGATTAAATACCTGCAAAAATATGCCATTTGTACCACGTATATTTAGCGTAGCTCTTACGGGGATTTTAAAAAGAAAGTGTGTAGCATCATTGCCAGAAAGCAGGTCTAGCTGATGGTGCTATTTATTTTCTTATAATATTGTTCACAAAATTATAATTGTCAGTAATAATAAAGAGTGTAAAGAAAACATTCCACACTCGTATTTGTATCCACTTGTTTTGCAATCATAGCTTGTTAAAAGCAGTCAGGTTGGCATCACCAGGTAGACTAGCTCTATGGCTGTCTAGCCACATACCTTTTTTGTTGTCGTTGTTGTTGTTAAGCAAGGTTGCCAACAAGCACCATGAGAAATATTCTCTTTGAAATTGCATATTTTTTGTTTTATGCATTTCTTAAAAATCTACTCCGATAATTAGAATCTGCAAGGAAAACTGAATGAATGTATTTTGTTCAGTTCACCTAATTAAGAAAAAGAATTTTCGAAAGACCCACGTCCTCTCTTGATGCTGACAAGGGTGAGGAAACTGTGTGGGCCATTTGGAAATTAGTGATTTTCCAAGGTTAGTGATTAGGATTAGTGATTTGCTAAACCACACTGGACACAGAAAGGCACAGCACGAAGCAGGAGCACTAGTTTGGGTTGCCTCTGAATAACGAGGACGCGTGGTCATAGGTGAAGAGCACAGCGTTTACTCGATCAGGACGAGCCCTGAATTCCCTACTTTCTTCTTTTTCTTTAAGCTTGTCGCACCTCTCCACAAGCCCATGCCCCACTTCTTCATTTTCAACATCCTCTGATGGGGAGGGAGCGCATGTGACACAATTCATGCTGTCAGTAAAAAACATGTACAACTTTTGTCTTGGCTGGTTCACCACGTGGTCAGTTGCCGTCCGTGATGCAATCGCGTCATTCGGACAGGTGCTATTCTACTCTGCACCCTGGTTCTCCAGTGGACGGTTTACTGCCACGTTTTGGAGTATTCTCTATTCTCTACGAAGTGCTTGGATACCTGCAGCAACGGTTCTTGCTGTTGCTCAAACCCATGCACCTAGCTCTCTCGATGCTCTGCAGTAATATTCTTGATGAGAAGCTTGCGCGGTTGGTATACGCACTGGCGGTTCCGCTGCTGCTCTTTTTCCAGGACTCTCCGCTTCAGTTTAAGAGGCAGAAACAGCATTTTCACTTTGGTTTTTAAGCGACCATCTCCTTGTTTTGTCACAGCATTATCTGGTACCCCAAAGCTGAGCAGAATAAAGTTCTGATGTCCAACTTGTGCACCTAATGATGAGGACACGACAGGAAACATGGGAGGACAGCTCGCTCCAGTGACGAGCTGACCAAATTGGTCATTGTTGATGGTTCGTAAGCTGTCAGCAGATTCCTTGGCACTCATCATCACTTGGCTTATGACAGGAACGTGTTCATCATGGTCAATCTTGTCACAAATGCCATAGCTTCCATCATGTGTTCGACTTCCTTTTACTTTTTCAACATTGGCAGTCGCTTGATCTTCGTTTTTCAGTTCGTCCTCCAACTTCGAAGTACAGCAATAATCCTCCAATGGCTGTTTCTCTCCGGCTCGATTCACAACGTGAAGCGTTTGCCAAGGAGTATCTTTCATGCCTGTCATCATCGCTTGATCTTTGCCAAAAAAGTCCTGAATCATTGAATTCTGATGTGATATTTCTATGCTTGTGCACGCTGTCACGACCGATAAGGTGTTCGGCAGAATTGCCTCAACTCGCGAACATTCCAGTTTTGTGGTTGAAATCTGTGCCGTTCGAACATCCAATGTCTCTTTCCGTGTGTAAAGAAATGCCACGGTTGTCTGTGGTTTTACGGAAACAAACTTGATTGTAGTTTCCACGGTTGTGAGTGGCATAAGAAAGCAGCGAATCGTTAGGGTCACTCAGGAAAATGGACTGTCCACATTCAGACAGGTAATACTGTCTGCAGGTTGCACATGCTACCTGCTTTTCGTAGTCCGCTGCATCCACGAGTTCCCGGTCAACTGCCTCATCTTCAGTTACATTGACGATCTGCTTGTTCAAATGGCGGAGCTCAGCTTTTCTAGTCATCAATACAATGACTTGCCTGTTCACCTCCCGTGCCTCGGTCTCGGAGTCCCGCAGTAGTCCTGTCAGGAGCGCAATATTTCGTGAGAAGCTGGTTGTGACAGTCCCACGCACCTTCTGAAGACGCTCCGCTGACGACATCGTCGTCCTAGATTGACCACTCCCGGGTTTCACAACACCAAATGTTGATAACGAGGACCCGTGGTCATACGTCAGGAAGACAACGTTTACTCAATCAGGGCTGGCTCCACATTTCCTACTTTCTTCTTCTCTTTCCCTACATCTGTCGCGCCTCCCCCCAAGCCCGTGCTTCATTTTTTTTTTAACCGTCTCTGTCAGCGTCTTGTGTGATTTTCCAGTTACCTTAGCAGATAAAAATAAAACTGCACTTGAACCTCATTTCTATGTTTTGTATGCAAGCGAAAGCATATTGCTGTGGGGACTAATTCAGGTGCAGTAGAAGATAAAGAAAATCGTAGCTCTCAGCAGTTTCTTAGCAGTACAGCGTTCACTTTCTTCCATTCTTACAAAAGGTCGCTGTTAATCCAATTATTATTTGTGAGTTTCTTAATCGGAGCACTACAGAAGCAATGGATCATGCTTGTCCTTGCAAAATTCGGCTCTTTAGCAATTCTTGGTGCTTTCACTTCATAAAAAACAAGGAGCAGGAATTTTAAACTGGGACATAGAGCCACACCCTGATAACATTTCTGTGATGTGTTATTCAAATAAGAGGTAAGGTCTATAAATTCTTTTCCTATAGTCTCTTTTGGCAGCTACAGTGAATTCAGTAAAAGCTAAGTGATACGAATCTTGCGGGGGTCACTGAAAATATTCATATCATCCAAAATTCCTATGGCAAGAAAGCAGGTGTACATCTTCACTTATTCAGATATCTCAGGGCTTAAACATTGTCATGAACAGCTCCAAATAAATTACAGTAAATTTTTCAGATCTCAATGATCATGCTTGTACTAGTAAATATAGGCACGAGCGAAAATGTGTAATTAATGAAACAGTTGTGCTGTGATCAGACAAATAGTTGCCTTTTCCAACACCTTTCTGCATGATGCCAAGGTGCTGTGGCATAACTGATTTAAAGGCAAATATTGAGTCGATGTTGATTTTAGAAATAGCGGTCTAGAAAGTGGGTATTTTCAAATAAAATCGTGTTTCAGTGGTTCGCATTGCGTTAGCATGCTTCAAATGTCCCTCCTGGAAGCGGTCCGCTTGACGTAACAGTTGCCATGTGCAACGTTGCCCGGCTTTACTGCGCGGCCACCGACACTACCGTATAAACTGTAAATAAGTCGAGATATTTTAAATAAAATAATAAGCTAAACTCGCCCCTCGTCTTATATAGCGGTGTCTAGCCGGAAAGTGCGCCGCTGTCTGGTAACATGTGGCTTGCATGTGCCAACGCCTCCTAGATTTCCCGTGCCTGCCGTATGAGCGCGAAATGCCGGTCATCTATGGCGGCGCTGCCTTTGTAGGAGTACGAGTTTTTGTACTTGGCCTTTGAGATTGGCAATTTTGGCGTTTGCTACTAATTTCAAAGGATGCTTTGTCTTCAAATAGGTTTTTACGTTTTTGGAGCTTATATGCAACAAAAATAAAGTAAAAAAAGTTTTTAAAAGGCGTAAATGTAATTATAATTAACCCTACGTAAGTGACGCCATCATTCAACAAGCAACTTTTTTTAATACAAGGCATCGTCTAAAATTAACAGCAAACGCCAAAATTGCCGATCTCAAAGGCCAAGTACAAAGACCCTTACTCCTACGTAGGCAGCGCCTCCATAGATGACTGGCGTTTCGCGCTCATCCGGCAGGCACGGGAAATCTAGGAGGCGTTGGCACTGCTTTGGTGAATCGGAAAAAAGCATGCACTATTGGAGGGCACAGAAAGGGAAGCTGCAGATGTGCAATCCTCGAAAAATGTTGTTTCGTGGATAAATTGCCATTCATCCGCAGCTGGAGGATATGCTAGCCCACCTTTTGCGGGAAGTTCGTGCGCGCTCGCTGCGAGTGACCGTGGAAATCATTCGCAAGAAAGCCGTGTAACTCACTCGAGAAGCTGGGCTCACGACGGAAGAGTTTCGTGCACCAAACTCTTGGGTGCGTCGATTTATACGACGCAAAGGATTTTCTCTCCGGCGGCGCACATCCATCTGTCAAAAGTTGCCGGAGGAGTTCGAAGACAAGCTCATAAACTTTCAGCGCTTCATGAACCGGCTTCGGGAGCAGAACGACTACATGATGGGGCAGATTGGCAACGCCGATGAGAGCCCCGTGTGGTTTGACATGCCTTTGTCGACCACGATCACGCAGCGCGGCGTCAAGGATGTGAAGCTGTTGTCCACTGGCAACGAGCACTCGCGCTTCACCGTCATGCACGGCAGATGGTAGAAAGCTTCCGCCTTCAAAAACTGCTCTTTCAGTTATCAAGACATAGCAGGTGTAAATACTGTGGGCATTTGTTATAAGCTTCTTCTCATATATGCATTATTATAATCATCATCATCATCCGTCTGGGTTTCTGTTCTCATCGTCACTGGGTGTCACCACCATCATCATTGTGTGTGTGCTCTGTCTCAGACTGCCTCTTCGCTGCTGAACCCTTGGGCTGAATAAACGCTGTCTCTACCCAAACATCATACGTGGTGGAGGTGGATTTTCGGTCCTCGGTTCTCTCTCACCTCGCTCCACTCCCTGGAGCTTAGTTCAGGTCGCCGTTTGCCCCCCTGTTGTCCGGCAGCATGTCACAGAACGAGCCTG